ATTTTTATTCTTCTTTGACTCATAATATCAGCTTACATATTGCACATTGCCGAGCAACTATTGTAGGCACTCAGTATATATGTGTAATCTGAATATTAATTATTTTCCCATCTTCTGTCTGTGGTGGGTAAGCTGAAAACCCTGAGCTCTAATAATTTATCCCCTAATAATCTTCTATTAGTTCACTATGTGTAAACATTTTCTATTAGTTCACTATGTGAAATTTAATTTTAAATTCTTTTTAAAATGGGTTTTAATCTGATATTTAACCTTATATTTACTATATCCTTTAGTAAGATGCATAGCTGGTATTAATAATTTAAATAAACAATGTCAAGAAACACTTCTAGATATGTTTACTTCTCCCTCCCATTTTCTACTCTGGAAGCTAACCCTATAAAAAACATCAAGGTAGTACAATTTGAGGCACACGGTACTTGTTTTACTGTATAATTTCATTGACACTTACCATCATTATATTTTTTTCTTCTATCCTTATAGTAAGTAAACATTTCCAAGATGTATGAATTCACACATATTCTTAATTTTTAACTTTTTTCTTCTTCAAAATTGAAATTTAAACAATATTAAAATTTCAAGATACATCAGTATGATCTTGCATTTCTTTAATAAAGTAAAAAAAAAACTTCACATTTCTAAAAAAAGTAATTTATAACATTATTTTTTAATGAAAACCAATGACACTTATTTTAGACAGCAGGAAAATTTAGATCTTAACAGCCAAATTTCACATGTACTGTATTTCTAATCTTCATCTGAATGATGTTGACATGTTCATCCAATGAAATTTTAACCATGAACGATTATGACTCAACTGTAGCTGCACAAATTTTAAAAATATAATTTTAAGTTGTAAAAAATTAGTGAAATTTATATTAAGATCTGATTTATATTAAATTCAAATTACACACACTTTATATACATATACAATGAGGTGATCTATAAGATCTATAACATATACTACTCAAAATATCTGTGCTAAGATTGTGAACAATATTAGTAACACTCTCACACTGGCCTGTGTGAGTACACAGATGTTTATTGCATTATTCTTTATATTCCATTTTATGCATTAAGTATATTCTTTGGTGTGTAAGAAACATATCAGTAAAACAAAATAAAAATATGTAAAAGACTGAATTCCAAACTGAATGAAAATACATCAGACTTTAAAACCCTGTCTATATGCAAAGCAGTGTATTTCGAAATTCATCCTACTTTTTTCATAATTTTTTTTTAAAATTTTTTTTATGATTTATTTATTTCTGAGAGAGAGAGGCAGCATGAGCAGGGGAGGGTCAGAGAGAGAGGGAGATACAGCATCCGAAGCAGGCTCCAGGCTCTGAGCTGTCAGCACAGAGCCCGATGCGGGGCTCGAACCCACAAACCGTGAGCTCAAGTCGGACGCTTAACCGACTGAGCCACCCAGGCACCCCACTTTTTTCATAATTTTTAAAAGTATTTCTACATCTGTGAAACTAAATAAGATGAACAGTTTGGTAAACTTCCAAAAATGTTTTTGTGAATGACAGCTTTTAATCATTCAACTAATTGCCTCTTCAAAATTCCTGAAACCTCTAATTCATATCTTTGGCCAAAAACTTTCTCTACTCAGGAAATGGATATTTTCTCAATATTATTATCTTAGTTAAATATCTACCTACATGTTATTATAATTAAAAACACATTTTAATAGTTCATTTCTTTAAAGAGAAAGGTGTATAAAAACTATTATTGAATTTCAGAAAAGAAGGCTCTCTCTTTTTTAAATGTTATTTGTACAGGTAATTTGTATCATTTAAAATAGCCTTTAAAAGAGTTTGAAGACTACTTAAACATATTAACATATAAACATTTAAGACTACTTAAAGCTGTATTAATTTTATTTATTTATTTTTAAATATTTATTTATTTTTGAGACAGAGAGAAACAGAGCATGAGCACGGGAGGGGCAGAGAGAGAGGGAGACACAGGATCCGAAACAGGCTCTGAGCTGTCAGCACAGATGCCAATGCGGGGCTTGAACCCACGAACCGTGAGATCATGACCTGAGCCGAAGTCGGACGCCTAACCAACTGAGCCACCCAGGAGCCCCTAAAGCTGTATTAATTTTAAATTTTCTACAGTTAGAATAGATCCTTTTCATCTATGTGATTACATAGATGACTAGTTAGTTCTTTAACCACAATAAAATTGGAGAAAATCTTAACATATTTTAGAAAAGTATTTTTTGTTTTCTTTTCCCTTTAAAACATAATATCATATAGAGATTTTCTATGTTAATTTAAAATTTTGTTTGAGAACTAGTAATGTCTCACAAAATATGGTTTGTTTGAAGAGAACTTAGAGCTCTGTTAACTTTAAATTTACTACAACTTAAAAAATCCTTTCTATCTATGGAAGCACACAGTTGGTGAGTCTAGGTAAATGACAAGATTGTGCACAATATTTAACAATGCACCCTACTGCAAACAAAAAAGCAGGTTTTCAATCATGTAATCATCAAAATCTAATTAAAAAACAAAAGTCAGCATTTTGACAATTCTGTACGCATGTCATTCAAGAAGGTATGGCAGGTAGATTAAAAAAATTATCTCTCGAAAGACAAAATATTCAATATAAACTTCAAGTGACATAAAATGAACCAGTTCTGTTTGTCATTCATTCTTGTTTTTTTTCTCCTTTGGCTGCACAGTTTGCACACTAGTGCTTAATTCAAACCTTTTAGCATTGTCCTTAAAAGCCCACTTTGAGCCATTTTTGATAGCACGAAACTTGTTTTGTTGTGTACCTATGGGCTCAAAGCAAAATCTGATTCATGCTTACTCAATTTCCCTTTTCTCTGCCTCATTATTTTTCAGATACCCTCTATCCACCTCATAATTTTCTGAGCCTTTTCTAGCCTTTTCTAGCCGAATTCTTCTGCATTTAAAAAAAAATCACTTCTTCTATCATTTTACCTTGTATGTTCTTTATTAAATAATTATCTGTTTCATTCATCTTGCTCTTTCTCTTTGCTTACTCTTTCAGTCCAGGCAAAAACACAATGAAGACCCATCATGTCTACAGTATCTTGACATTTACATGTGTGCAAAATGTCATCTCTATGAAATTTTTCATCTCTTCCTGAGACCATTACAAGCTATTTTTTGTCCTTATTCTGGTGCTAAAATTGCTTTCTCAGGGTATTAACTTCTGCTAAAGTGTAAGAAATAAAAAAGAAAAGGGAGCATATATGGATGGTAAAATGGGGACCCAAGGTAATAAAAATATGTTTGTGTAATTAATGTATTAACAAAACATGGATTCAGAACTTGATATCTATGATTTCTTGCTGGGTAAATTTATACAAATTGTAAAACTAACCTAACCACAATTTTCTTTTTGGAAAAAAATAAATTAATGTTATCTTTGTTTTTTGCTGAATTGTTGTTAAATAAAATAATGTGTTAAGTTTTTATGCAAGGGACTGTCAATGATAAGCACAAGCCAAATATTGTGTGTGTGTTTCTAATATTCATAATAATCTTTTGGTATTATCTAACCAAAAACTCTTTTAGTATTACCTAACTAAGGAGAGAGTTAATTGAATTTGAAATGAAACCACAGCATTTGATGTCTATAGAATGAATAAACATATTTATAAGCATATCTTTTGATACTGATATGAAATCCATTATTTCCACTTATAAAGACTATTACTTATCATTGACAAAATCTATAATATCTATTTACATGACTATCTAATAAACTTAAATTATATCATATAATGGGATTCTAAGAATGGTAAATCCTGCAGATTAAATATAATTAAACTTCTTTCAAAATTGACTCATGCTATTATATTTTATTGAAAGCAGTTTTAGTAATAAAAAAGATAACTGAATAAATGACCATTTGTATTAAAATAAATAAGTAGATATAGGTTAATTTTCTAATTTTTAAAATACAGGTGATATACATATATTTTTTAATCATTAAGGAGAATATGTCTACATGACTAGAATTTTCCCCTCATATTAGATCACAGAAGTAAAAATACGTTTCTATACAAGTCAGTGGACTAATTTCAGATATTACCAAGATCACAACCTGGTATTTCTAACACAGGACTCAGAGTATAAAGTCTCAAGGAGTCCATCTTAGATTCAAGGTATCATATTTTCCAAGTTCTTAATATTATCAATTCCATAAGTATGTCATAATTTAGACATATAATTTCTAATATGATAGTGTGGAAGAATATGCAAATCAAATTCTATGAATCCATATAAATAACTTATTTAATCTGAGACTGTCATATGAGTCGAATGATTAATGTCTTGGTGCCATGCCTCTTAGCATTCATTCCAAAGAATTAACTATATCAGAAGAAACAAAGAAATTAAGAATTGATAAAATAATCTATTGAGTCTTTAAAATTTGGGGGCTTAAGAAATGGTGTATAATATGGGGCGCCTGGGTGGCTTAGTCGGTTAAGCGTCCGACTTTCGCTTAGGTCATGATCTCGCGGTTCGTGGGTTCGAGCCCCGCGTCGGACTCTGTGCTGACAGCCAGCTCGGAGCCTGGAGCCTGTTTCAGTCTGTGACTCCCTCTCTCTCTGACCCTCCCCTGCTCATGCTGTGTCTCTCTCTCTCTCTCCAAAAAAAAAAAAAAAACAAAAAAAAAAAAAAAAGAAATGGTGTATCGTAAAAGCTGTCAATAACTTTTGAATAAAAATACAGATATATACAAGGAAAAAAAAACTTTTCCAGAAGTCCTAGACCTGCCTTAGCAAAAGTAAAAAGAAAGAACACACACACACACACACACACACACACACACACCCCTCAATGAGATCAGCTTTAAAGATTCTCAGAGTCATATGCAACTTTCCCCATCTCTAGTCATATCAGCACAAACACTCAGGTTCCTGTTCATGAGTGTTGATCCATATCCATAGCTTTTTGATAAATTCTTCACTCTTCCTTCCCTTCCAGATGTGTACAGATCTCCAAACCACCAAAACAAGATATAAACAAGATCACTCTCCCCAAGGAGGTATGATCTTGTTGTTATTGTTTGCATAATATAAAATTAATATTCTGAGTACATATGGGCAGTAACAGTCTCTCAAAAGTCTTTGAAGACTGGCTGATTAATTTGTTAATTGATTGACCTCATTGGAAATACATTCAAGTGAACTCATTCTAAGAATTTTGCTTTACTAAATCCTATGTTACTAAGCCAAAGTTTAGTGTTTGTAATTGTTTTGATTGAGGAAATCTGATTTTCTGGTGCTCCCCATAGGCCTTGCTTGCATTGGTAATATTAGTTTTCATTTCTAAGGTCCTCAATTTGATGACCTGATGCCCCTCAATAAGATACAATCTAATTTGGGGGGAAGATTTTATAGATGAGGGTGGAAGCTCTTACTTCAAGTAGATGCAATATAAGAGAAGGTACTTTTGTTTAAATTAAAAATTTGAATTTCATTTTGTACTTCAGCAAAAACCAATCAATCTTCATGGGAAACAAAGAGTGTGAAGCGTATATGATGGAATCAGCATTTAAATGTGATGCAGTTTTATAGAGCACTTGTTATAAGAGCTCCGAAAGACTGAATTAACTAAAAGTGCTTTATGTTAATGTATTTTAGTTTCAGTAATTTTTACATGGGCTACAATTTAAGTATTATATGTGTTTAAGAAAGCAAATTTGCAAAGATATAAGAAACGACATTGTAGAATGCATATTTCTTTGTGATAGGATATAATGGGAGATATCAGAAATTATAACTTATTATTCCAAGGCAAAATGGAAATTTCAAAAAATCATTCCAAACTACAAAGTGGAAAAATTGATTTTTCCCTCTATAAAATATAGACAGTCTCAACTTATAATGGTTTGCTTACAATTTTTCAAATTTACAATGGCACAAAAACAATATGCATTCAGAAGAAACTGTACTTTGAATTTTAATCTTTTCTTGGGCAGTCATATGAAGTATCATACTCTACCATGATGCTAGGCAATGGTATTGAGCCACAACTCCCTGTCAGCCACACACAATCATGAGGGTAAGGAACCGATAAACTTACAACCATCCTGTACCTATACAATCCTTCTCTTTTTCATTTCAGTACAGTATTCAATAAATTATATGAGATAGTCAAAAGTTTATTACAAGGCCACCTCAGTGGTTGAGTCAGTTAAATGTCTGATTCTTAATTTCAGCTCAGATCATGATCTGATGGTTACTGGGATTGGGCCCTGCAGTGGGCTCTGTGCTGACAGCATGGAGCCTGCTTGGGACTATCTCTCTCCTCTTTCTCTGCCTGTCCCCCTGCTTGTCCATGCAAACTCTCTCTCTCCCTCTCCCTCTCTCTCTCCCCCCAAAAAAATAAATAAACTTAAAAGAATTATTATAAAGAGGCTTTGTGTTATAAAGAGGCTTTGATTTTGTCCAACTGTAACTAACATTAGTATTCTGAGCATGTTTAATGTTGGCTAGGATAAGCTATGATCTTCCACAGGTTAAGTATAAATGGACATGGCAAAAATGAAACCAAATTAGAGAAAGGTATTTCTAAAAGAGAAGTCCTATGTCGTGAAAGATCAATAAAGGAAAACTGTCACAACATGACAAATCATCCTAATTGGGATGATATGTTAATAGTAACTATTTTTAAAAATCTCTGGATGATATATTTCAGGTAGGTTTTTTTTTAATATTTATCAGTCTTTTCTAATTTATATATAGATTTATATAATTTATATAATTTACATATAGATCCCATGCTGACCAAAAATAATAAACAGAATCTTTGTGAATCACTGAAAAGAATAGGAAGCATGAAGCCTAACCAAAAGGATATATAAATCAACTTAAGCAAATAGAAATGAGAGAATGAAAATATGTGAGTACATATACAATTATATATAATAACATAACACTGTTAGGAGAAGTTAATACAGTGGGCATTAGAGTCTGCAGTTAGTAAAAAAAAAATTTTTTTGAAAAAATATGTTTCTGGGGCGCCTGGGTGGCTTAGTCGGTTAAGCGTCCGACTTTCGCTTTGGTCATGGTCTCGCGGTTCGTGGGTTCGAGCCCCGCATCGGGCTCTGTGCTGACTGCCAGCTCGGAGCCTGGAGCTTGTTTCAGTCTGTGACTCCCTCTCTCTCTGACCCTCCCCTGCTCACGCTGTCTCTCTCTCTCTCTCCTAGAAATAAATAAAACATTAAAAAAAAAAATATGTTTCTGAGAAAAAACAATTTCCAATGAAACAAACTTAGAAAAATACCCCTGGATAAATGCTCCCTTGGCTAAGTTTAATTCCTTCACTGCCACTGCAGATAGACTTCCTGCCATTTTTATCTTAGCAGCAATGGAGTCCAATGGCAGTTCAGTAATGGAGTGAGGGAGCGATAGAGGGGAAATATCTACCGAGGAGAAGAAAGAGCAGTTACTGAGAGCTGGAGAGAAAGGAGAGCCACCAACACTGGACTGGCACCAGTGACTAATGGAGTTGGTGAATGCTTAGGGTCAGTAAGGAACCAGAATACATGAGGACATGAGTAAGGCTGCATGGTAGCTACATATACCCTTGACTTCAAACCCTGTGTGGAAAGTGACTCTTTGCTTCTGGACAAAGTTCTTGGAAATGAATGCAGAGAGAGAAAATACAGTTTTGGTAGTAAAGTGAACTTTAACAGAAAATGTTCCCTACCGGTGGCAAGATTAAGCTTTTCTTCACCATTGTCAGGACTTGCTGTTGCTAAAGTTTCAATTAGTTATTGAAATCAAGGAGTTCTAGTGTCTTGACCAATAATAATTTGTGTAACAATGCAGTCACTAAAAGGTGTATATACCTACCATATAAGATTAAAATTATTTTCATTTTTAAAAATTTATTTGGAGGAACCAAGAGGGAAGAACAGCACATAATTTTTTTTTCTGTTTCGTGTACATGAACTACAGCCAGATCAACACTAAGCCATCCTGCACACCTAGAAAACTGATTGGAGGATTAATACAACAATCTACACAACCTGAACTAAAGGTACACAGTGCAGAGAGGTGAAGTGGGAGGGAGAGAAGCCATGGAAGGCATGGAGCTGTTTTTGTTTGTGGAGAGGGGATGGAGATGGGAGGGGGGGGATACGGGAGAAGCACCCCACATAAAAGAAGCTGGAGAGAAAGTGGAAAAGTGGAAACAGCTGCAGGAACTGAACTAAAAATGGAGAAAGCAGAAAGGAGAGGGTTTAAATTCCATTAAGACTATAAACAGAGAGAGCGTAGAATCTGAAACTCATAAGTTCAATACCTGGCCATGCTCTGGTAGGAAGGGCAAATTGCAAGGAGCAGGGTGGAGTCTGGGAGGAGCAGTTCCACTGCTGTAAGGACATTTGGTAGAAGCTGTGTGGCCACCTGGTCCCAGCAGACCCCAGAGAACAACTACATTTGTTGGTGCTGAAACAAGGTCATTACGGGTGAAATCTGGTGCCAGATGTGTGTTGTGATTTTCCATAATCCCTGAAATACTGCTGCCACACAATCATCTGAACATTTTCTGGAGCAAGCTGGCACCCAGCTACAGCCTCTGGGCATTGGCAGCACCAAAGTCCTGCAAACATTCCTAGGTGCAGCCGGCACCAGGCCATTGCTCAGTGAGACCCTCTCCAGAGGATCAGAACAGGTCAAAGCCTCAGTCTCTCTGAAGTAAGGGGTTGGGAAACAGCCACATCTGAGATAAAACTCATGAAGGAGGTACTGCCGGGCAACCTGATGGCTTGGTCATGAACAGTGTAAAAGTGGAGAGTGGATGGAAGCCAGAGACAAAGGATGGTGAGCAATTGTTGGTAGGGAAGAGCACAGATTTCCAATACTAGAGACTGGGTAGCTGGGTACACCATGTTGACCCTGCCTGTGCATGCACATACACACCTTCAGGCACCACACCAATCTATCCCAGTAAGCTAAGCAGTACCATCTAGTGGAGAATGGAACCGGTATACTAAGCTCCACCTAACTGGGCAAACCTTGCTCTTCAGGAACACCACAGATCTCTCCACTGGCTTACTGTATGGACTATAAAGTGTTTCATAGCTTGACTTCTGGGGAAAATGATGTGATATCAATCATATTTCAGACTGTTCATTGGCCCATCTATTCAATTTTCTTTTGTTTTCTTTCTTTTTCATTTATTTTTTTACTTGAATACAGAAAGAGAAAAAGTACTTTCAAAAATTTTATTAAAATATTTTTATTTTTTCTACTAATTTTTTCACTTTTTTTGTAATTTTTTTCAAATTCTATTGTACTTCCATCATTTCAGTTTATTCTATTTCTTTGTATTCATTTTCTCAAATTTTCAAACATTTTCCATTTTTATTTTCCTTTTTTTACCTTTTTCTCTAGTAAGAGAAAATAATAAAATAAAATAAAAGCAATAAGAGAATATTATGAGCAAATATACACCAATAAAATGGGCAGTCAGGAGGAAATGGACAAATTCCTAAAAAGGTATAAATTACCAAAACTGAAACAGGAAGAAATAGAAAATTTGAACAGACCCATAACCAGTAAAGAAACAGAATTAGTAATAAAAAATCTCCCCAAAATCAAGAGTTCAGTTGCAGATGACTTTCCAGGGGAATTCGACCAAACATTTAAGGAATAGTTAACACCTATTCTCTTGAAGCTGTATCAAAAAATATAAATGGAAGGAAAACTTCTCAATTCTTTCTATGAAGCCAGCATTACCTTGATTCCAAAACCAAAGACTCCACTAAAAAGGAGAACTCAATACCAATTTCCCTGATGAACATGGATGCAAGAATCCTCAACAAGATATTAGGCAACCAGATCCAACAATACATTAAAAAACATTATTATTCACCATTATTCATCATTATTCATCCCAGAATTTATACTTGAGATGCAGGACTAGTTCAATATCCACAAAACAATCAATGTGATCATCACATCAATTAAAGAAAGGATAAGAATCACATGGTATTCTCAATAGATGCAGAGAAAGCATTTGACAAATTACAGC